GAAATTTTTTTTTTTTTGAATAGATAGACAAAATTTGAACCGATAGAAGAAAAATTGAACAAAAAGATATAAATTTGAACAGATAGTCAACGAAATGTCAGACAGATAAAAAAATAACAGATAAATTAAGGGATAAGATTGAACACAAAATGTCTTCCAAAATCAATGAAAGGACTTCTCACCAAACTATTTCACAAAGCAGGAACCTCTCATCAACAAAAAATATCTACGGGACCTAATACTTTATATCCTCCTTAGAATGAATTTATCATTAATTTTCTCTTAATACAAAGAATTATGTTGATCAGATATTAGTAAGCACATGATCAATTTACAAATATATATATATATATATATGTATATTTAGTTGTTTAAGACGAGTATGATTTAACCAACTAATAGCATTAATGCATTAAAAAAGTAAAAAAAAAAAAAATACAATTCCAAGACCAAAACATCACATCATTACTGGCGGGACCCACTGCCACCTAATTAGTGGGAGCACTAATTAGTGCTCCCAAGCATTATTCCCCAAAATAAAGTGAGAAAAAAATTAAATAAACAAGATCCTTTTGGCGAGAGGAAAAATAAAATAAAAAATTATTATTATGTCCCTTTTGAAAATTCAAGCATATTTTGCTTTAACACGTATATTCCATTAATAAGCACTAAATTAGCAAGTTTGGAACAAAACCCAATAGATTCATAATTTGATGTTTTGTATACAATAGTTTTAAAATAATTATTTTATGAAATCTGGATATAGTGTTCTTAGTGATATTCATAATATCTTATTTTATTTATATTTTAGGACAAATTATAAATCAATATATTTTTTTAAAAAAAATTCTAATTAATATGAAATTTTATCAATTTTAATAATTATAATTAATTTTTTTAATAAATTTATAAATATTTTATAAATTTACCACTAATTTACACTTTTGCTTATTTTTTGCCTATGTTTGGGAAGAGATTTTTGGAATTTTTTTTGACTAAAATAGTCACAAAAAATAAAATAAGCTTTTTAATCTCAATAAGATAAAATATCACATTCAATCCATAATTATTATATTCTTTTTCTTACAAAAAAATTAAAAAAATTGAAAAAGTCAAAAGTTCTTCCTAAATTAAGTTTTTTAGTCTAAACTAAAATAACTAAAAAAATTAAAAAATTAACTTACTTTCCAAACGAGTCTTTATGTTCTTAATTTCGTATGCCATTTTATTTATTTTATTTTTTTTTCAATAATGTTTGAGACCACTAAAAGTGGTACTCTAAAAGCACCACTAGTGATGTGGCAATGGACGGGGCCCACTACTTGTGTCTTGTTTTTTTATTTTTATTTTATTTAAAGTGCTTGACAACTCATTAGTGGTGCTTTAGAGCACCACTTTTAGTGGGATGTATCATTACCTTTCTTTTTTTATTCATATTTCGTATGCCATTGAGACCTGAGCTGGTGAGCATTTGATTTGTTAAATCATAAGTGGTGTGGGTCCTAATTGCCCACCTCAGCCATTTGATGGCTCTACATCAAAATAGAAGAGTCAACTAAAGTATATTTGCGCCGAGAAGGTATCAAGATCCTCTCCTTGCGGCCTCCGGCTTTGCATCCGTCCTTGCAGGTCTTTGAGTTTATTTTTAAATCTAATTTTAATAATTTGAACGGTTATATTTTATGATTTATTCATTATATTATATCTGTAAAAAATTAAATTGATCGGATATCAGAAAATATGTGTTCAAAAAATTAAACTAAAAACTATTTTTTAAATAATTTAATAAATAGTTTTCCGAACACATACTTTTTGATATCCGATCAATTTAATTTTTTACAAGTATGATATACTGAATAAATCATAAAATATGAACGATTTGAATTATTAAAATTAAGCTTAAAAATAAATTCGAAAACCTGCAAAGACAGCGCAAGGAGGGGGCCACAAAGAGAGACTCTTGACTCGCTGAGAAGGGTTGGCTCGGCGATAAGTGTCGTACTAAAAATTCTTTTAATAAGGGTTTGACACATTGAAATTCTTTACATGGTGCTCTTATATTTTTTCTCAAGAGAGGTTTTAGCTTGGGGTTGGAGGTTAGTGTAGCCTAACTACCCCTTTTTTTAATTAAAAAAAAGCTAAAGTATTTCTGCCTTTTGCATGGCTTATAAATTGAAAAGATCTAGTTTGCAAGGATGTGAATCATATGGAGTCTATTTTGATGATTTAAATTGTTAAATTATTAAAATTTGTTAAGAAAATCATTTATACAGGCTTTGTTTGAAAAGTGGCTATATTAGAGATTTTTTTGACTTTTTGACTATTTTAATAGGCTATTTTAGTTTTTGTATTTGGGAAGATGAGATGGATTTTTATTTGAGTTGTTGTACTGAAAAGTATGTTGAAATGATGTTTGAAGTTAAAATGACAAATTTGTCCTTAAAATTATAATTTTTTAAATTGATGTGAAGGGGCAAAATTGTAATTTTTCACATGATGTAGAAATTTGATACTTTGACAGTAGCCTACACTGTCACGGCAGTTGAGGCTATTTTTTTTTTTTTTTTTTTTTTTAAAAAGGGGGGAGGTGAATAGTAAAGCTTTTTGGCTTATTTTTCATTTTAGGCTATAATAGCCTCCAGCGGCTCTTCCCAAACAGCGCCACAAGATGCTAAGGTTAAAAGTCCAATCTTGAATTTTCTTTGTCCAAAAGTTCATGTACTAATTTAGTATATTCATAAGGACAAGTCTTTACGAAATGACTAAATTACTCCATATATTTAAACCACTGCTCTACCTTTTTTACTATCTCTCTCTTTCTCTCTCTATCTGTTCTAAACCCAAACAAACCCTAATCATCTCATCATCTTCTCTCTCTCTCTCTCATCATCTGTTCTAAATCACTTCTCTCTCTATCTATCTGTTCTAAAGAAAGATTCTTGTTATTGTTGTTGATGATGATAAAGATCTGAGATTTTTTTTTGGTCATTAATGATGGTGATAAAACAGATTGTAACACATACACACGCACACACACAGAGAGAGATTTGAACATATAGAATTTAGTTTGGCTTGGTGTTTTAACAAATAGAAAAGAAATTGAATAGAGATTTTTTTCAACAGATAGAGGAAGAAAAGAGATTCAGAGAGATAAAAAAGAACTGGATAGAAGCACAAATAGAGAGAGAGTTTGAAAATAGTGTGAATTTAAATAGATAAAAAATATTAATTATAAAAATTCAATAGAGAGGTTAAAAAAATTCAACAAAAAAAAAATTTGAATAGATAGACAAAATTTGAACCGATAGAAGAAAAATTGAACAAAAAGATATAAATTTGAACAGATAGTCAACGAAATATCAGACAGATAAAAAAATAACAGATAAATTAAGGGATAAGATTGAACACAAAATCTCTTCCAAAATCAACGAAAGGACTTCTCACCAAACTATTTCACAAAGAAGGAACCTCTCATCAACAAAAAATATCTACGGGACCTAATACCTTATATCCTCCTTAGAATGAATTTATCATTAATTTTCTTTTAATATAAAGAATTATGTTGATCAGATATTAGTAAGCACATGATCAATTTACAAATATATATATATATATATATAAATGAATTTTAGTTGTTTAAGACGAGTGTGATTTAACCAAGTAGTTGCCAATATGTGATGAAATTGATTGTTTTGTACAAATGATCTATTCAATAGAATCTACAAGTTGGTCATTTATTTCAAAAGACCTAATCCCATAGGGGAGGAAAGGAGAGGAGTGGAGAGTCGACCTTACCTTAAGATTTTATCACTATTGACGATTTAGTTCATCAAAACAGATTGGAGTGACTGCAACCCTGTAAACTGAATCCTCACGGCTAAAAAGTGAACTAGATGCAAACTTGTTTTCTAAAGAAGATTCAAATATTTCAAATTATAAATTTATTATTATTATTGTTATTATTTTAAATAGGGAACATTGTTGTAAGAAAGTTGATTGGGACAAGATCACCCCCACCTCAGAGCTGGAACTTTCCCCCTCACTTTCCTCGAGACGGTATATGGCCAAACTCTCATTTATAGCATCAACAACAAACAAACCAACAACACCAAGTTTTTGACCCCCAGAAAAAGCACATGTATTTTCCTTCTTTGCAAGTGTTGTTCTGCCATTTTACAGCTCAGAAAATACAGTAGGAGTTGCTAGCATGTGGACCATCCTTGTGCAAATGGTCTCATGACCACTTTAAACAACTCAATATGTTAGGGATTCAAATCTATACCCCACACCAAACCCTATAAATTTACCACTTTCCACAACAATAACAAAGAAATATCAGAAATACAAAATACGAAGCCAATTCAACTGACAATAGTGTGAGATATAAATGAGAGTTGTGTTGTGGAGCACACTTCATACTCTCGTTCACATGTATTTTACTGCAATACTTTTCTTATGTTTGTATATTTGTTTCATATTTTTTACTAAACAATAATACAACAAATAGTATTGAAATACAAGTGCATGTAGTGACGCAGGGATGGGCGGGAGTAGGGAATCAGGATAGAAAGGAATGAAAAATCAATCTTGATCCCACTTTCTTACCAGGATAGAAAAAATTGTCCGAAACAGGACAAGCGATACGGAGAGACAGAACCGGACAGAAGTATTGCCATCCCCAGATTTTTCAACAATATTTATTTATATGTAAAGCGACCCGACAGGATACATTTATGATTATAAAAAAAAGCAGTTTGCACATCTACAAGACACCAGCCAACAAACAAAGTCAGAGTAGCAACACATTACAATATTGAATTTAAACACACAAAAACATTAAAATAAAAATACAATATAGTCCAAATTTAATTTAAATATAAATTTTATCATATAAAAATTGAATTTAAAATCCAGACTATTTTTTTTAATTACTTTTTTCTATATTTAAATTCTTAATTCTTAAGAGAGTACAACATCCTATACACATTACAGGAACAAAATTAATACACCAACAAACATTATTAATATTCATTTTCTGTACTTAAATAGAACAGAGAGATTATATTATAAATATCATACAAACAAAACATACTTTTCAATCTAACTATCCAATAGTTTGGAGTATCCCTGTAAGATTCACCTATATAATAACACTTAATAATTAGTAATTTCAAACAGATAATCCTCCTAAAAATGCCACCCCAGTCGATGGTAACCACGACGACCCAAAAATAAATTCGGCAACCGTGAACTTGCTTGCCTCTACCGTGGAATTGATTACCCGATACCCCGGCCACTTGACACGTTGGCCGACAGCCGATCCTGGGCCGTAATTCATGTACTCCCCATAGTAGAGGGTGTCAAGTGCAAATGTGGCGTTCCACTCTAGCCACCCCCGGGTGTGCACGTGGTCACCAATGAATGACATCATGTATACGGTTCTTGAGTACAGTTTCCAAGGCCGGCCTAGGTAGGTTGAAAAGTTTGCTTTCGATGGCTGGAGATCAGACGTGGCGAGAATTCGACAGGCGTGGATTGAAATGCCGGTGTTTTGGTTAGGGTCTTTTCGATTTTGAGCGGTAATTGTGTTTTTTTGAAAGTACAAGGGTTTTCGGGCGAATATACTGCAATTTTGGAAAACTACTGCTGCATTTCCGAATATGAAATCAACTGTTCCGTATATGTCACATTCACGAAAGAATTGGCGTTGCGAGTGTACATACAGGGTGTCTTGGTAGCCGATGACATTGCACCGATACACCACGGCGTGGTCGGCACCGACGCGGAGAGCCACTGCTTGGTGCCTGCTGGGTCCGGCCCAATTCTCAAATGTTATGTCTCGGGCAATGAATCCAGTGCCGGTGGCAGCTGTAGACCAGCAAATGTTCAAGTATTAAAGTCAAAACAATCTTCATCTTATACAATTATGATTAAGAATACATAGTCACAGAAACAATCACATATTGTGAAACAATTATGTGTTTCTTGATATTTTATTTTATAATAATGACAAAATCAAAAAGAATATGGTATACTGTTAATTATTTGGTAGTCAAATGAATGATCATTTTTTAGACTAAAATACTTTACCTTTTATTATTTAGTCAAAATGTCAACAGTATCCAAATACTCATATTCAATGTTGAATAATATGCCATTAGAAGTGTAACAATATCTAAGTGAAAGAAAGAAATGGGAATAATTAGGTAATTCACTAAATAATAAGAAATTTCCTCTTCACAGTGGTATATGTAAATCCTAGATGAGAAAATATGTGGAATTCATCTATGAAAAAGTACAGAAAAGAAAAAAAAAATGAAAAGAAAGAATTAGGCTGGGTATAAATTGATATACTAAAAAAGAGACGTCAATGAGATAGAAATAATGAATTGTAAATAGAATATAGGTTCGGAATCTATAGATAATTAATATAGATGGAATTGTCCATCTAGCTAAAGGAGAGGGTAATTGTGTCAATTAATATCACTACATATTTAAATGCAAAATATCTAAGGGTAAGAATTTTATGACTTTTATTAACACCATTAAGATTATCATTATTGTAAAAAATGTCATTATAAATATAGTTTTTTATCACCAAAGAAGAATGAATGACGTGTCCTTTCACTTACGTTAATGGAAGTGGTGTTGCAATGTATAAGAAGAAGAAGAATATGATTAGTGGAGTATCAATTCAATTAGCTAATAATGGAATCCAGTTATCAATGGCTTTAACAATGAGATGCCCATGACCCACCTCCAATAATGTGAATAATGTGACAGAAGAAGATAAGGATCGATACATATGGTACTTTTTTGCAGCTTGTTCAGTTGCTGCAATTACCATATTGTCCACCATCTAGCATAGTAGCATTGAGTACATTTCATTTTTTATTTACTAATTTTTGGGACATGTTAAACAACTTCTTGTGTTGAAATAATTAAAATTTTAATTGAACCGTGTTTTTACTTGAATCAATGTAGTTGTATGTAAACCTAGACATGATCTTTATATTTATCTTTAGTTATGATTGAATTATAATATTTATAAGAATTAAACTCACAAATATCATTACTTATATTTTAAAAATGTGCATTATAACATTATCTTATTTTTACATATTTCTATACATATATAAGTATCTGTGTTTTGTTTTGTCATTTATTTCTATGTCAGTAATATTTTTCTTATGCAACACAGGCTTAAGAGCAATCAATGTTACAATCAGACACATGCAAAAAAGTAGAGTGAAAGAAATGATTTTTTTTTTTTTTTTAAACTTTTTAACTAAAATTGTTTATTCCTAGACAGACCCTTACTATTTTACTTCTCTTCTCACACGAGGGACCCATATTATCACTTTATCACTTTGTTTAATTTTTGACCTATTGTCTAGTTTTGATAGGCCACATGGATTTCTTATAACCGTAATACCAATGACATTATGATTCCATTTATAAATTTAACTATTTTAATATTATTTTTTTTTACTATTTAACAATTTTATTTTAGCTTAAAAAGTCGCATTTAGGGTGATGGTTGATTTTTTTTTTGTAATTGATATGATAGTAATGAAAGAAAAAATAAAAATAACAAGTCCAAAAAACAGCTAATCCCAAACAGGATATCGAATCATTAATTGTTATTTTTTATCCTACCCATATGTGACGTTTTAAAAACAAGGGTTCTTCCCTTCTATATAAATTTTTAATTAATTAATGATATCACGCGTCACTAATAATTTAATATTATTATTATATTAAATTTTTACTAGTTACTCGAGTAAGATGACAGCCATATTTTCTTACAATATTTTTACTCTACTCATAATTAAAATGGATTTTATACCGTGTAATATTGTGTGGTCCACTCTCATTATGAGTAAGATGTAAAAAAAATATTGCAAAAAACAACATGTAACAGTAGCAGGACTGTTTTGTCGTTATGTATGTGTTAAATAGAACCAAATTAAACAAGGTGAACAATTAATAATATTTACCGAATGATGCGGTGTGAAATGTCGTCATGTTATCGAGAACGCTTTTACCACCCGAAATGATGGTGATACCCTTACCATCACCAATGAACATCAAGTTCGTCTTCTTTCTTCCCACCTTCAAATTATTCTCTTCGTACCTGTTGATTTTCAACACATTTTTACAATTTTAGAAGTTTTCATAATTGCAAAATCATCATCAAGTTTTTGATAATATCTAAAAACCCCATCACCGACGTTTAAAAAGAGAGGGGGTTAAAACGTCAATAACAAGAGAAGAATGTGTCTGTCTGGCATGCATTCATCATTTTTTGTATGAAAAAATAAAAAACTCATTGATGGTTCACGTGAGGAACTAACTATCTGAAGTTTCATAAAGGTTGATGTGAGAGAAGTCATTAGCCCAACTACTGCTATAAAGAGTAAAGTTGTGGACACGGATCTTCTTATGTTGTTGGCCACACTCCATTTTTCACTAAATTTTGTAACACAAAATGTGGAAAAAAAATTATATTTTTATGAATTTACATGAGTAATTTTATAAAAATGTATAAGTTGAATATAAAATATTTTTGTGATATTACTTATATAAATTTGTAAAAAATTAAATAATTTTATAATAAAATTACATACAATATATATTGCACACAAAAATATTTCTCCAAAATATACATATATATATATATATATATATCTCGAATTGTAAATGAATTTCATTTTTTTTTTGCTGCTACATTATTAAATTATTAAAATTTGACTCTATTTATATATATATATATATATATATTATAGAAAAATTAGCAAGAGTTGCACATGCAATAAGTGTATAATTTTTAATTCATATTATAATGGCTAATGCGTGTACTAAAATTTTCTCTTTCTAATTTTTCTAAACTAGATAAATTTCTAACTAGATTAAAAAAAAATTAAAAAAAATTCAAGTAGAATGCCGTGACAGAAATATATCCATTCATTTCAAATTAACAAATATATTAAAATAATTTATAATTTTTAAAATGTCACTGTCAAATTATTCTTACATAATTTTTTGTGTGAATTTTTTTTATTTACAAACCATTTTCCTCTATAGTTATGAAAGTTGTTTTGAAAGTTATCTTTTTTTAAAAAAAAAAATTATGTAAAAAAGTGTAAAAATATAAAAAGAAAATTTATTTTATTGTATAATAATTTTTTTACTTTTTAAATAAAATTTCATATGCTCAAAAAATAGACCTTAATTAATTTATAGATCTCTTTTCGGCCTCACTCTCAAGATCTAGTGCATTCAAATTTTAGATTTTTATGTATTCATCATTAGCTAAAAAAATAGAAATTGATTTAACAAAAATAAATAAGTAAATGTTAATTTATTTAAATGTGATAAAATTCTATTAAATGGTTATCAATTAAATATAATTTACCTTATTAATAATCTATATAAAACGAATTAAAAATTAACGCCAATGCTCTCATTTCTATGCAGAATATTACATTCTTGCAAACATTACTTAAATTAATAATTATATTCATTGCAAGTGTAGTTACATTTCGTTAATTTTAAATTTATACAATCCACTTATTTTTTGGATTAAGACTAGGTTTGGTATCTTTTAAAAAAGTCAAAAAATAAAAAGTCACTATTTTATTTAAATCACATCACCTCTCCACCACATCATTTTAAATTCGACTCATATTTCATAAAAATATTAAAGCATATACTTATTTAAAACATTCTACACTATTCTTACCTTTTCATCATTCATGATTTTTGTCGATTTCATTTCAACCAATTGTATTTACATCTTAATGGTTTTTAAAAATTAATTTTGGAAAAGTGGCAAGTGGAACAGCAACTTACCTTCCTGCCCTGACGTAGATTACTGTGCGGCGATTACTATACTCAGGCACCATCTTAATCGCCTCCGAAATCTTCTTACACGTCCCATTACCATCTTGCGACACCACAATATCAGCCTTAATCCCTTGCACCGGCATATCCAACAACCTCCTCTCTCTCCTGCTCAGCCACTTCGGAAACTCACTCGGCCGCCGCGAACCATCATTCTCCTCCATCAACCTCCGCCGGCGATTCTGAATCGGAATCCCCTCAAAATCCTTGTTCCCCTTCGCCGCCGAATAAATAGCCAAACAATTACTCACCAACGCCGACAAGTTCCTCAACCTCTCCTGCATCCCATCCTTCACGTACCCCTTCACATTCCCCAATCCCTCCGTACACGTGTCCTGGTTCGTTAACGCCGCGCTCAGCCACGTCAGCACGTCCTGAGTCGATCCGGCTCGTTTCGTATTGATTGAGTTGAGAGCGCGAGTGAGTTGGTCCACCGAGTCGTCGAGGAGCTCGAGACAGTCATCGTATGCGGACCTCACGTGAGCGTCCATGGCGAGATTGCTGAAATCGGAAACGACGACGTATAGCGCTTTGTCGAAGCGTCGGAGAGTTGCGTTGACGGAGATGTGGATGAGGTCGCGCTCTCCGGCGGAGGTTGCGCCGGGGAAGTCGACCAGCGAGTTGACACAGAGAGTCGGGTAACGAGTTCGGTCGCACGTTCGGGATATGGCTTGGGTGAGCTTTCTGCGCAATGCTGGCTCGGATTCGACCGAAGCTGTGGTGTGGAGCGCGGAAGCGACGGTGAAGACGAGTGAGAAGAGTAAAAGGAACTTTAGGCTGGGAGTTTTTGTTGACAGGGCTTCATGATTTTGGTTGAGGAGTGGCGCGGACAATCCGAGCCTGCCGTAGGCCATTGCTGAGAGAAAGTGAAATGCAGACAGAAGCAAAGTGAGAGTGGGGATGAAGAAATGGATATAGAGAGTAGTGGGCTATATAGAGGCCAGTGTAAAGAGGAGAGGGGGGAATGTAATCATGTAATTACGTCTGAAGATAATTTTTAAGAAAATTTTTAAAAATTTTATTTGGTTGAAATTTTTTAAAAACATGTCTAAAATCTCTCCTATACATTAAGGGTTGGTTTGGCATAGATTATATAATCCATCTTTTTATTTTTTTTTCATCACATCACTTCTCTATTTTTCTACAGATCTTTTCGTAAAAAAGACAAAAAATATACTTTTTTAAGACACCTCAAACCAACCCTAATTAATCACTCTTTCTCTCTCTTTTCTTATACTCAATTATAACAAAATATTAAATCATCCCAAACTTTCAAATTTCAAAACTATTTTCAAAATATACAACCACATAAAAAAACAAACAAAAAAAAATAATTAAACTCTCTCCTCAAAATTTTTATTTAAAAATTTATCTCAAAACAGAAATCAAACTCATTCCAGGCAATATTATATTTATTTTAGATTTTGTGTGATAACGATATGCTTCAATCTTATAATAGAGCTTGTAAGCCTTGTGTTATAATGATATGCTTTGATTCAATAACAAATTTTTACGGCCGTTGGATTATAATTCATTTAAATATTGAATGAGAGGATTTGTTCTTTTGTAATAGGATAAATCACAAAAAATTGTATCAATTTATTATAATAAAATAAAATAAATTATTTATGCATTTATTTCATGTCATAATTGCAAGATATGAAATTTGTGCTTATGGCTCCGTTTGGCAAGTTGGGTTGGAGGTTTTTTTGGCTATTTTAGTCACTAAAGACAAAATAGGATATTTTAGTCACAAAAAATAAAACATCACATCCAACCCATAATCATTACACTCTTCTCTCACAAAAAAATTCAAAAAAGTCAAAAAGCCAGAAAGCCCTTCCCAAACCAAGCTTTTTAGCCCAGGCTAAAATAGCCAAAAAAACCAAAAAGTCAAAAAGCCAACCCACTTCCCAAACCAAGCCATAGTGTCTCAACAAATTTGTTGACTTAATGTAGTTAAGGATGTGTACGGTACGATTTGAGGATAAAGTTATAAATCAAATAACGAATAAACCAATAATCCAATTGCAAATTGAACAGTTTACGGAAGATTGACTGATCGAAGAATACTCTTAATTAATTATCAAATATTTGCATGATATATAATACTAATTAATATTTTATATATATAACACAAACTGATTTTATATAATATTTTTCATATATATAACTACTAATTTATAACAAATTTCATATCTTAAATCTCTCATATTCATTTTTACTTTGATATTTCATTAGAGGTTAAAAAATATATATGTATTAATTATAGCGGAGCAGAGCAATTTCAAAAGTAGATTATAAATTTTGAAATTTAATCCTCGTTTAACGGATAAAACGGTACGAATTGATACGATTTTATTTTACACAACCCTAATTGTAGCAAATATAAATAATAGTTAATAATAGAATTAGTGTATTGAGACTGATGAAACAATATTTTCATAATTTACTATTTATATTTCAAAATCTTAATTTGTTGAAAATATTGTGAATTAAGTTAAGACTATATAACAAATATATATATATATATATATAAACAGATAAAATGTTTTAAAAGTAAATTTTACTATAAACTCAAAAAAAAAAAAAATCATATATATTATGTGTATTAGGTGTTTAAATAAATCAACGGTTATTTAGCTACTATTATTCCCACCAAAAAAATTAATTTAAGCTACTTAAAAAAGCTTAAAAACACTCCAAAAGAATTTTTACTAAATTATTTATATACTTATTGCAAGTCAATAAATTAATTTATAGAATTTAATTGGTAAAAAAATTAATTATATATGATGAGTTAGGACTATTCTGTGAGAATTGAAAACAGGGGGTGGAATAATAAGGGGTTGGTGTGAGGTCGATGTCGACAGCATGAGCTGTCCTCTACTTCCAGCACTTACTGCCCACCACCACCAGCTGAACTGTAAAACCACCAGGTGCACTGTAAAAGAAGGATCGCTTTATTCCCTTTTTTTTCTCTTTTGGAAACCCAAAAACTTTAACATTATTTTATTTTTTAAAAAAATTACTATTTATATATATCTCAAAATTAATTAAGTTTTATTTAGAAATTGATTATTTTAGTTAATTTTTATTTTTTCTAAAAAATATGAAGAAAATAAAAAGAATAATATGATAACTTAGAGTAATTTTTTTTTTAACTAAAAATATCTCCAACCATTTACTAATCATTACTCTAACAACACAGAGTATGAGTTTTTTTTTTTCTTTTTTTCTTCTGTTAACGATCTCACTCTACAGGTGTAAGATAATATGTGGGGAAAAAAAAATAATTTAGTTGGATATCGATCGTCACATAATCAAAATATATTTATTTGAAAATTATAATTCAAATAATAAATATAATTTGATCATCCAATTACAGATTATTAATGAATTTGAGATATTCTTTCAACCAAAGCTCAATAAATGAATAATTCACATTAGTCGAAATGAAATATGAAACGTTTTATTTTGATTTTTTTTTTTTTTCAAAATTTGGTTATGTTGAAATTATTTGTTAAACCCAAGTAATCTTACAAAGTCGTCTTTCTAATACACAATTTTAAAAAAAAAATTAATTAAAGTAAATCTGTTAAATAAATTAAAAAAAAAGAAAAAGAACTTGTTTTAAAATAGTTTGAATATATGGTAAATAACTCTACAGTAGGGTCGACCATAACCGACAACTTGTTTTAGTGCTTACAATTCTATGTGGGCTAGTTATACATGTGGTTGTGGAGTAGTAGCAGTGGATTTATAGAGTTTTGTCTCGGAACGCGATTGAAGGATGGTCTGCGCCGACTCATGAGGGAGGTTTTAAACACGAGTTGCTTCGCTTTCGCCTTTGTGTTAATAGGTTGCGTATATCCTATGTTATTCAGGTTTAGGGGTCGGTTGGAACAGGTTATTTTAATAATTTTTAATTTTTTATAAAAAAAATATGTATAAAAATAAAAAAAATAATATGATAATTTATAATAACTTTTTAACTAAAATACTTAATTCCCAAACAAAACTTTAATCTTATTATTTTTTGCCAAAATATCTCGATAACATATATTTTAATCCCCTTATCCAAAACGGTTGCAAATCATACATGATTTCGAGTGTACTTCAATACTCTCAAAAAAAAAAAATATTTAAAAATAAAAGTAAATCCGCATCTACCCCCTTTGTTCTTGCCGTTGTATTGAGGGTGGTATAATTTTTTCTTCTACTTTTCTGGCATTTCGGTTGATTGTTCCTATTTCCTCTGTTAACAAGAAAAAAGATTAATCTCCATGTGAAGAACGCTCAACGGAAAGAATGCATCAGCAAATTAATTTGAGATTCCCCTAATTTTGTTTCAATTTGGTTGCCTCATTGTTGTATCAGAATTTTAATTTTTGGTTTCATAAGATTAGGTTTATTTTAGTTTTTAAAACTTTTACATGAAAATGAACCAAAATATTATATTTTTGGATGCGTTATTCTGTAATAAAATTCTTAGTTTCTTGTGAATCTTTTATACTAAATTGAAAATTCAACAAAATCGAACCACAATGGCCCCGTTTGGTGTAGCTGTTAAAACAGCTTATAGATTATACCTTAACAGATTATAAATTATGACTTTAATCAGAAGTTGTTAATCTGTTTGGTGTAGCTGTTGGATTATAGATTTAAGTTGCTGAGTAGTATTTGTTAAATAAGCTGTGAAATAGCTTTTTCAATTAATTTTTATTTTTTGTTTGTCTACATTTCTCATAAAAAAATAATAATAATAATCTATAGTCCATTTGAGTCTTTTTCTATTTTTAAAAAAATAAAAAAAAAATTTAAGAGTATAACCATAAATTAATATGTCCACAGCAGAAGCTGATAATCAGAAATAAGGGGTGAGTAGCTTCTCATAATCAATTTTTTTGAGTTAAAATAAACTGTTAGAATCAGAAGCTGTTTGAAATAAGTTTAACCAAACAGTCAAAAATAACTTTTTCAAATCTAAAAGTCATAAATTGACTCTGAAAAGCTGAAACAAACACCCCAAATATATAGTCAATTTTGGCCCCTCTACTAACAAAATTGAAAGGTTTTCAATTCAATGCTAAATTTTTTCTTAATCCCGATAACTGAATTGCTTTAGACCCTACTAAATTAATGATCAGTTTTTTTTTTTCCTTTTAAACATCTACATATAAATTATTATAAAATATTATATTAATCTGATAATTATAGTCACTTAATTTTATTTTTTTTATATTTACATTAAAAATAAATAATAAAATTATATAACTAACACAATTAAATAAATTTAATTTTGTGACGAATAATTTATATACCAAGATTTCAAATATAAATGGATTGAATGATTGGAGACAAGCTTTAGCCCAAATGAATACCCCGAAATGTTCCATAAGTCAAAGAATGAGAAGGTATGTGAAGAAATATTTGTAATCGCTCGCTAGGCTACAAAACGAAAAAGCAAGAAAAGCTTCCATTATTGGGTTCCACATATTATGGTGTACCTGAAAACTTTAAAGTCATTGCATATTCAAATTATTAATTATTTATTTTTCAAAGAGATTCATAATGTATTTAGCTTTAATGGATAAAAGGCGTGTCATAGCATTTGTACCGAAACATTAATTTTTTTTAAAAAATAATATGTAATTCTGATTTAAGTGTAAATTTCATCATATAAGAGTTGATTTTAGGTCATATAAAAGAATTACTCTAGAGCAATACTACATTTATTTAAAATTTTACTAAAAATCTTATTAAAGATACATGTCTAAATATCATTAGATATTTAAATGTCAATTTTTTTATTTTTTTTGACAACCAATCACATTTGGACTCTTGTATTTTTAGTAAGATTATTAGTATATGTAATATTATTCGTTACTCTAACCTAAAAGTTAGACTCACTTTTCAAGC